CATTTTGACACATGTCGTTCGCAAATGAGCCTGGTTTGTTGGGTTCCATGGCGGCTTTTTACTCCGCGATGGAACGGCGCCGTCCGGTGTCTTGGCCGTCGCCGGAGGCTGCTTGCCGACTGTCATCTGGGACCGATATCTCGACAACGCTGGGTCGCAGTGACACGGCAATGGTGGTGTACAATGCGAAGTGGTACGGTCACACGTATCACGTGGCGCGGGCTCACAGAAGGATTGCGATCACGGGTTTGCGCGAGTTGTGTCACATCTCGACACTTATGGCACGAACACACCCGGAATTGGCGCGCTTCGATGATGAATGTAGAAACGAGATGATAATGTGTGGTGACACGTGCCACATGTCATGGCGTCTACGCGTTGAGCTATGGATTTACACGTTTTTGCTCTTGAGGGCTGACGTCTTGTGATATCTCAGAAACCAGGGAATGAAGCGCGTCGAGATTGGCATGCTTCGGTAGGTGATTTAACGGGAAATCACTCAAGCGTGTACGATGTCATGTGACACATGCACATTAGCTTCGAAGGTGTATGCTGCCGATTTGGTCCATTTTTACGCTTTTCGCGTGATTTCCGGTGTTATGGCACGTAGTAACACGGGATTGGCATGCCGCGATAGGCCATTGAACGGGAAATCCCATGGTGTCACAAGAACGGGGTAGTAAATCACACGTGTTGGGCACACACGAGCCAGGAAGACGGCGTTTGCTCTTTTCCACTGGTTTACGCGCTTTGTGCCACATCGACACCCAGTGCACGGAGCCGCTGGGGAGTGGCATGCATTGATAGTGGATCGTACAGACAATAATGTTGCATGAATTGTCATGTCGCACGTGTTGCGTGTAACGCGTGCACGAGCCAGCAAGATATATTTGGTCGTAACCGGCCGTTTTTCACATTTTGCGCCACATCTCGGCAACCAGGGAACTTGAAACCGTGATGATGTATGGCTTTTACTTCGGGTAATGTATTTTGCTCTTTTGCACAGTTCTTCACGTTTTGTGCCACCTCGCTTTACGCGGGGCACGGGGCGCACTTGGGGGTAGCATGCATTAATGGGGAATCGGGCGGACAATCACGTGGAAAGATTGAAACGTCACGTGTGCGCGGGCCAGGAAATTGGTTTAACCGCTGCCGACCGTTTTTCACTGTTGCATACAATACATTGCTGCTTAATACAACGGCAGTGCGTGTTGCCGTCATTCAAAAGGCTGACAGTTGCTAGAGGGGGTAAAATCACCGGCCATGTGCCGCGATCAATCCCCAGTCCCATGGAACAGGTTCGATTGTGTTGCAGAGATCGCAGGTGAAATGCACTCTCCCGCCGGCGGCCGCCAGGGACCGCCAGCACCGCGCGCCGCCCGCGGCAGGGTCCTTTTCACACTTTTCGCGATATCTCGGCAACCAGGGTACCTAAAACCGTGACTCAAGCTGCAAAAGATACATCATGAAAGTTTCTAGATTTTACATCAGTGCAGCGAGGCAAGCATGCAAACGCTTGTATTTTACTGAATATCTGACGTGTTCTACAAGTTCTCTTAAGTTGCTCTACCATGAATCCCCGTTGAGACTATGTCTTGGAGGGAGCTCGCTTTGAAATGCTCTGTTTTAACCCAAAACCTATGCGGAAATTGTGAGAAAACCTGCAGTTGGATAGTCCCGCGGGCTGTGAGAATGTGGGATTACGCTTATTTGACATTAGTGTGAATCAGGCGCTTGAAATGGTTGTGGATCCCTGGTGGTGTTTGCAAGTGACTTGTATTGATCTTGATGTGATGGAGGTTGTGCGTGCGAGGTTTGTACGTATGAGATATGGCATTGCTTTGGGATTCTTTACGTCTAATGATTCCCAATAAAATGTAATATATTGATACCCGCCTCTATATTTATGTTTGCGTTTGAACACGACAAAGTTGTGATGCCAGCAAAATAAAAAAAAAAACACCAGCAACCAGCGTTTTCTATGCTGTAGGGGTGTACAAAGCAATTTGCTACTTCAGTATGTTGCCAACATTTTGAACCTATTGAGCTATAATAGCATGTAATTAATCCATTGTACTCTGCGTGCAATTATATTATCAATTCATTTTGGCAGTAGGGGCAGGTCCGTGCGGCTCATTAATGCACATGCTTGGTAAAAGCTTGCATGATACAGCGGTGCAAAATTGTATTTCTTTAACAACTCTGAAAATGTGGTGCTGTATTATGTCGATTGCACACGCCACTGTCTCGACAAATCTTGTATGCAGGCAAGCATTCTATGCATTTCGTCCATCTAACCATAACTACATGCTCTTTTCATGTCTCTAGGCATGCGCAAGGTGAGTGTTGTGAGCACGCCCAGCCAGCCCGGCGGCACAACATGCTGTCCCTGCCGTGTCGCGGCGCGGCCTCGGCCGAGCCGTGAAATGCCACCTACCGCCGCGGGCGCTGACCGCCGTCCCGTGGCGGACCGCACGGGACGCGTGGTAGGTGCGTGTATGCAAGCTAACTTATGAGTGGCAGTTCACCCGAACTAAATATTAGGTCGTGCCTGCCTGGTATAGCAGGGGCATGACGCCACTGGACTCGGTACAATACAGATCGCCGCGTCGCTACACGTCTCTCCCTGACTGAGCTGAGCAAAACCGCTGGACGAAGACATCACAGTGAGCAAGTTTGGCGTGCCATTTCACTACACATAATACTTCCGTGCAAGCAAAAGACATTTTTTTATCTTTGTCGCTTATGTTTTGTGGATTCACAAAACAGGCTGAGCAGGTGATGTCGCTTATTGGTGTTGTGCTTTGCTGAAAGTGATTTGCATCTTGTATTATGTGATTTGGGCCAGTCATATGTCAGATGCGGAGTGGAAACAAAAACGCACGTTTGACCAATCTTTTCATGATGAAATTTATTATGAAAGCTTTCTTAAAGGGATATTAGGAAACAAGGTCAGCATGTTTTCAGTGTCATTTCACCACGTGTAAAATTTTCCTGTTGTTTTTTAGTGAAGCAGCCTGATGGCTGCAGCATGTTGCATAACTGTGGAAGTGAACGATGTGTTTGCATCTTTCTCACTTGCGTGTTGTGGATTCCCAAAACAGGATGAGCAAGTGATGCCACAAACACAGTCCACAAACAAACAATTAATCCGCCACCCAACACAGCCCTCGCGACGAGAATGGCCGGTTGGCGTCAGCTTTGGTGTGTTTCGAGGTAATCCTTTAGGTCTGGCTGCCAGATGCTGCCAGGTGCTGCTGCCGTCACAAAACCATTCCATGACGCCATCAGAGAATGACGTGATGGGGCGCATATTTACAAACCTTGAAATTTTGCTACTTATCGTCGTTTTTGAACCTTGAAAGCTTACCAATAGCTACAAGTAGGCTTTTTCCATCATATTTGATACCTACGTCAATATCTTCAAATGCGGAACATTCCCTTTAAGGCAGAAATTAAACTTCAGGCGCAAGACTTCGTGCGGTGTGGGTGAACTCGCGACTGCCTAGCTGGCGGTCATTGCCGCTCAGCTCGAGGTCACGCCAGCTCACGACTACCTTCACCCAGCTCACGGCTGCCGCCGCCCAGCTCACGACTACCGTCACCCAGCTCACGGCTGCCGCCGCCCAGCTCGATGCTACCGCCACTCAGCTCACGGCTGCCGCCACTCAGCTCACGACTGCCGCCACTCAGCTCACGACTGCCGCCACCCAGCTCACGACTGCCGCCACTCAGCTCACGACTACCGTCACCCAGCTCACGACTACCGTCACCCAGCTCACGGTTGCCGCCGCCCAGCTCACGGCTGCCGCCGCCCAGCTCATGACTACCGCCGCCCAGCTCACGGCTGCCGCCGCCCAGCTCGATGCTACCGCCACTCAGCTCACGGCTGCCGCCGCCCAGCTCGGTGCTACCGCCACTCAGCTCACGGCTGCCGCCGCCCAGCTCGATGCTACCGCCACTCAGCTCATGGCTGCCGCCGCCCAGCTCGGTGCTACCGCCACTCAGCTGACGGCTGCCGCCGCCCAACTCACGACTACCGCCGCCCAGCTCGATGCCGCCGCCATCCAACCCGCTGCCGCCACCGCCCAGTTCAGTGCCGCCACCGCCCAGCTCGGTGCCGCCGCCACCCAGCTCACGACTACCGCCGCCCAGTTCGGTGCCGTCGCCACCCAGCTCAACGCCGCCACTACCCACGGCCACGCCGGTTTGGGTTTGATGAGTTTTTGACAGCGCAGGCAGTGGATGGTACAGCGTGTAGGCGTGTTTACGTATTTTGTGTGCATTTTTGTGAAATTGTGAAGGTGCCGCAAATCCGTGCTGTCGAAGTCTCGACCTTGTTATGATACATGTTGCGGATATTTTCTTTTGTAATGTGGAAACTTTTTCATTTTCCGATTAGAGAATCATGAAAATATAATGTTGAAGTGAAAGGTAATTCCCAATGAAAGAGATAATGGAATAAACGTTGATGACACTGCGATGTGTAAAAATGGCGCTGGAGTAACCGGCTCTGGTTACACATCGACGGCCAGGGATGCCTACACTTGCTCAAGCCGCTGCAAGTGATACCTAGAAAATATGCAGAACTTTTAAAAGATATCATGGTTACCATAGCATGGTTATGTTAACGGTGACTTAACATGCTTGCGGCCATTCTCGAGGCAAAACTGGTTGGTGATTCCAGCAGTGGTAGCCAGGATTATGTAAAAAAACGTGAGGGACTGGCGGCGAATGCCGAACAGCTTGGGCTACAACACTGCCGGTCAAATGGTTCGTGACGCAGTTGGCATGCAGTTTCGGTAATCGAATATCAGGTAACAATCCATCCCTATTTGCTCGTGAAGACGGTGCTACCGAGCACACTCGGTGTGACATGCCAGTCAGTCCAGCAATGCCAGTGTATCAGCTGACTATGCTCCCTGTCCGTATGTGAGCGCTGCCGAGTGCCTTCCGCGGTTCCATTGGTGGCGGAGCGAGTGAAAGTTTTGTGAGCTGGCAACACCATGTATTGATACAAATATCAGGAACATTCAGTGACTAGCGACACGTTTCGTAATCAACTAATAAGCATCAAGACACCTAAATGATTCAGAAGACGATCATTGCGGCGGTCATATCCTTGGAGGCGCCATAGTGTGATAATTTAATAATGTAGGTAAATAATTGAGCTCGTACCGCAATGGCTCATTATGAAAAGCGACAGCGTTGTAAGACGATGGATTGGTTGACATATTCCGGTGACATCCTTTGACTAGTTATGACCGGACATGCTCAACCTCAAAAGGCAGTTGGTGTCGATGTTGTGAAAGTAAGGGCGTGTTGATGCCGGTACCGTGGAACAAGAGCCAGGTCATATTAAGAACATAGAAATTCGAGCATGTACCGTTTCCTAAACCCTCCAGAACATGAACATTCGTATGGCTGTTACAGCCACGTCCCGCGAAGTATGCAAACACAGCGAAGTCATCCCGAAACGACAGCAACCCTGGGGCTGTTGACAAAAACAACTGACACCTTCCGGACTCGAAGCACGTAATTTCTTAGCGTGTGACCGGCGGCAGTCGCCTGGTCCGGGTGACACCCGCCCGTCCGGCCGAGTCCAGCGCCTCCTGACGGCGCCCACACCGGAGTCCGGGCCCGGCGCGGCTCACGTCTGGCCGGAGGGCTGGTCGGCCCCCTCGGCCAGCTGGCGGTGCCGCTCCTGACGCCGCTGCTGATCCACCGTCGGCAGGTCGGTCGACTTGCTGTGCTTGCGGCGCCGCACCAGGCAGAAGATGAGCGCCACGATGAGCAGGATCAGAATCAGAATCGGGATCAGGATCGCCAGGACCAGCCCGGCGGATCCCAGCAGCGGTCCGAAGGCTGCGGCAGGGGACAGAAGACGCTCACATATCTGGCGAACAGTGGAACTAGCTTACAGTAATTTGGTATTTAAACGCTTGTCGTTTTGCTACGATTCATGTTTTCTGGCCATCTAGCCACATGATAATTGTTAACGTCATGCTTCATTAACACAATCTTGCACCCAACAGATGTGTTAATGAAACCACATGCTATCTATGGGTGAGTAATGCAATGTGAATATCATTACCAATACATACATACTACAATAGACAAGCCGTGTGATGTGGAGCAGAACAGTGGCCAGAACCTTGCTTTCGCCGTATAGAGCGCCAGAAAGCTATCAAACTCACAGACGTTGCCCAGGTCCATGACACATGTGCCAATGTTGCCCAGTCGGTCCACCACCGTGATGTTGGCCTTGGGGTGGCAGCACGAGGCCCGGTACGTAGCCTGCATCTGCTGGATGCCCACCACGAAGCTGTCCGTGGTCAGCTGGCCGACGTTCCGCGGAAACACGTGCACCTCGTGAATGCCTGCCGGTGCGCGGGGGGCGTCAGCACCGGCGACGGGACAGAGCGGACCTGGACGGGGTGCGCGGGAGGCGTCAGCACCGGCGACGGGACAGAGCGGTCCTGGCCCGGGTGCGCGGGAGGCGTCAGCACTGGCGACGGGACAGAGCGGACCTGGGCGGGGTGCGCGGGAGGCGTCAGCACCGGCGACGAGACAGAGCGGACCTGGGCGGGGTGCGCGGGAGGCGTCAGCACTGGCGACGGGACAGAGCGGACCTGGGCGGGGTGCGCGGGAGGCGTCAGCACCGGCGACGGGACAGAGCGGTCCTGGCCCGGGTGCGCGGGAGGCGTCAGCACTGGCGACGGGACAGAGCGGACCTGGGCGGGGTGCGCGGGAGGCGTCAGCACCGGCGACGGGACAGAGCGGACCTGGGCGGTGTGCGCGGGAGGCGTCAGCACCGGCGACGGGACAGAGCGGACCTGGGCGGGGTGCGCGGGAGGCGTCAGCACTGGCGACGGGACAGAGCGGACCTGGGCGGGGTGCGCGCTGGAGATGCGCCCTCGTGATGTAGTCTCTGTACTGATGCGTAACTATCCCGATATTGTCAGCTTGTTTTCAGCGTGATCATAATGTGTCAGCTCCACCGTCGTGCGCATTCCGTAGCTGTTGTGTTATTAGCATCTGCACCGTGGCAGCAATGCCTACGATGGTGTCATCAGTATCTATCCTAATGTTGTCATCAGTATATGTCCTGCTGCTATCACAGCTTGCCTTTAACGCTACGGGCGCCGGTTTCGGAATTCCCGGCACCTGTCTAGACGCACATATCACCAGCTCCGGTGTCACCAGAACCAGCTCCAGTGTCACGAGCACTAACTCATTTGTCACCAAGACCTGCCTCTGCACCATCAGTACCTGCTCCGGAGTCGGAAGCCACAATGTCAACGGACCAGAGGCGTTCCTCGCAGTCGTCCTCGGTCAGATAATCGCCGCAGTCCACGTCCGCCCCCGGCTGAACGGTGCAGGTCGGAGCGGATGAGTCCTCCTCCTGCAACCAGAGCAGCACGGTCGTCACATCAGGTGCAAATTAGCCGACCATCATCACTTCCGGTGCAAATTAGCTCGATGATCATCGCTTCCGGTGCACATTAACCCGACGATCGTCACTTCCGGTGCAAATCAACCCGAGGATCGTCACTTCCGCTGCACATTAACCCGGGGATCGTCACTTCCGGTGCTTCCCAGGAGCAGACAGTCGTTACATCCAGCAGGCGGAAGTCAGATGGTCCTCGCATCTATACTCGCCGGAGATATGACCTTCCCATCTGTCAGCGGTCACGTGACTGTCATCTGGCACGGGATTCAGATGATTTTCACGTCTGTGCTCAGCAGTCATATGACGGTCACATCAAGCGCGCAGAAGTCAACTGGCTGTCACAAGAACGGCACATTAGGCCAGCTGGACAGCATATGCTGCCTACATGGGTAGGATTCTGCGATGTGGTTGACACCGCCATTTTGTTTTGAAGAAGGCAAGTTCCTTTGTTTTTCCGCGTCCTGGGCATGAAGTCGGTGTGAACATTGTTATATTTGGGTTCGTTTGGGTTGCGGTTATAACATAAGTTCACCTACATTACGTGGAGTTCATTGCATAATAAGGCCACGACTTTGTACACATTTATGAGCGTTTATTTCTATAGAGGCACAACCAAATCGGCCTGTGTAATTCAAAAGACGGAAGCGAGTTGTTAGCTCCAACTCACCTGGCTCCAAGCTTGTTCCAGCGGTCAGTGTGTTGCCCAGCCTGGCGGCACGTCAGTGGTGCCGCCACCCGACCTCACGTAGCTGACACGATGAGCGTGTGAAGCGCTGTCGCACCTGCCCGAGCACGGTGGGCGTCTGGAGCACAGTCTCACCTGCCCCAGCACGGTGAGCGTCTGGAGCACAGTCTCACCTGCCCGAGCACGGTGCGTGTCTGGAGCACAGTCTCACCTGCCAGAGCACGGTGCGTGTCTGGAGCACAGTCTCACCTGCCCGAGCACGGTGCGTGTCTGGAGCACAGTCCCACCTGCCCGAGCACGGTGCGTGTCTGGAGCACAGTCTCACCTGCCCGAGCACGGTGAGCGTCTGGAGCACAGTCTCACCTGCCCGAGCACGGTGGGCGTCTGGAGCACAGTCTCACCTGCCCGAGCACGGTGCGTGTCTGGAGCACAGTCTCACCTGCCCGAACACGGTGCGTGTCTGGAGCACAGTCTCACCTGCCCGAGCACGGTGAGCGTCTGATGAGCGGCCGCCCCGTCCTCGAGCGTGGACACCATTGCGGAGAGCTGGACAGTGGCCGCGTCTCCGGGCCGCGCCTCGGGCGGCACGTAGTACCGTAGCGTCACCAGCCGGCTCTGGCGCGGCGGCAGCACCAACTCCGTGTCGCTCAGCGATTGCACATACCTGGCGGCGTTGGCGGGGCGCGGTGTTAGCCCTGGCGTATGGGTGGTGCGGGGCTGGGGGTGGCCGGCGCGCCCTGTGAACGGCGCCGATACCGAACGGTGGCCCAAGAAACGAGGGTGCACTTGACGCTGGGACTGCTGGCCGTGGGTGATGTTTCTATGTCATCCTATCGTTATTCGAGTCACAAAGTGCAGCCTGGTATGCTGTGCTTTGATTACTGAGCTCGCTCGCCGCGTCCCGTTTCGTTCATGGGCGGGCGTACTCTTCGTTCACAAATCGTCAAAAGTTTGCGTTCAAGACAATTTTGCGTACTCCTAGTCCATGAGTTATTAATGGTTGGCGTTCAGTGCGATTTTGATCCATGCGCTCTTCATCACATATGATTCGTTCACATCCCCTCCCCCACCCCCAGCGAACACCGCTTTGTCGACAACAGCCCGTCAGCGCACGCAAAACGCATCACCGGAGACGTGTCCCTGGCATTCCGTGGTCTGGCGCTGATGTGCGTCTCACCCCATGTCGTCGGTGGCGTGCAGCTGGAGCGTGCGAGGCTGCTGCAGCTCGTTGGTCAGCACAAACTCGATATTTCCGGTTTCTCCGGGACGAGCCGCGCCCACCTCGGGTCGCACCGCGGTCAAGGTCACGGCCGAGGTGGTGACGCGCAGCAGGGCCTCGCGCTCCCACCGGCTCCCGTCGCGGGCCCGACCCTTCACCTGGTCACCGAGAGCACGCGTTAGCTCACATCCGAAGGTGTGTCAAGTGACAATGGAACGCACGTCAACGCGCAGTGGAAGGCTCATCTCTTCACAGCGGAACAGGCTAACGCATACACGCGTACTTTGGGCCTGTACTCAGCCCAGAGTCACGGGTGTCAGTTTGTATCCTTTAAGATGGACCACTGTGCCCCCCCCCCATATACAATGCGGCCCAATGGTGGGTTTGGCCGCTCCAGCCTTTTGAAGCCTAAATGCATGACAAGAGGAAAACATGAAATATTGGAGCTCAAAATTGTACTAGTTCCACAAAATATTTATTGTAAATGCTTCTCGGAAAAGGAACAAAGAAAGTGAAAATTATGCGTCCATGTTCAGTTGAGTGCAGCTGACTGAGGTAATCATTCTTTTCGAGCTATCTTATCGTTTCCTGCATGCTGCATGTTTTTAATTACAAGATTCATATGTGTTGCAACCTCCGGTCTATTTTGCAACATTAAGTTGGCTGATTGCAGAAAGCTGCGCTATTTTTTCACATCTTATCTGAAAACCCGTAGAATGTTAGAAACCGAAAATGTGACCAATTTATGAACCGTCCACGTTCGGAAGAACTCCCGAAATGTGTTGAGCTGCAATTCAACGTGAATACTCGATGGGTCAGTCATGGAAACCGAACGATCGACACCATACGACTAAACCGATAGCGACATAATTTTCCGACAATGGCCACCAAAACAACACCAGTCGTACCAGGGGCCCACACACCAGGGGCCCACAGTGCCGAACAAGAGCTCTGTATTGACAAAGGGCCCGGAGTCGGCCTCGGGCTGTGTTCGACGGGACCCGCATAGGTGCCCGAAGGTCCCCTCGAGACAGCCGGTGAAAAGCCCGAGTGAGGGCCAAAGGGATGGCTGTACGTGACATTAAAGGCCTCAACACACAGGACCGGGTCCTCAAATGTCAGTCAGAAGGCCTCTTGCGCCGATTGAGACACCCTGAGACGATGCGGGCATCTATTTCCGTTAAAGACGAGCTACACCGAATAATCGGCTCCGTATCGGTCCGAGCCCCGGGGCTCACTTCCCAGGCAGGGATAAGATCGGTACCCGTGATTTACATGGGTTAGGACTCCTGAATCAGTGAAGGCCCCTGCGTCGTTCAGGGACTACCGTGTCTGACAGTGGTCCTGTGTCGGCAAAGGGCCCAGTCGGCCAAGGAAACGTATGCTGACCAGAGCAGGGTAAAACATATGCTGAAATAGGATGGAGGGCCGGCCCCAGCCTTCCATCCCATTTCAGCCAAGGGTACGTTATGCCGAACAGCACACTTGGTACCGATTATAGAACACCCGCGTGGGTCAAGGGACTTTCTACGTCAACAAGGGTCCCAGCGTCGATCCAGGGCCAAAGTCCCTGCGTAAGGGCCTCCGGTGTAAGGCAGGCAACCAATGCATGATTGATACCTCCAAGGGCTTGCGTACCGACCACGGGACCCCGCCCCGTGTGGCCAGTGTGACAGCCGGCATGCACCCAACGCTTGAACAGAATGAGCCTTCAGCCCTTGACCTGTAATTATAACGTGCCCCGAGTGTGCTATCCAAAAGCCCCTTGCCCAGAAAGGGTAAAATGTTTTCTTAGTGTGCAATAGGACGGATCAAAGTGAGGTCAAAATAAAAAGGCCGATGCAGACGACGACGTTCATTCTTGTTCCTGAGAACCGAATTACAAAAAAGGATTGCGTTTGCGTGATCGCAATCTTAGAAGCAAGAACACCGATGGTCGTGGGTGTTTCCATCAAACCGAGCGGCGCTGGCCGCTATAGCTGCCACCGGGCGGTGGTCAGCGCCTGGCGCAGGAGAACAAACATCGTGAATTAATGCCTTGGAAAATCTTTGAAAATCCATTCGTACGGTGCAAAAGTTAGACTTGGGCAAGTAATTCACCAGTATCGTCTTGAATCAGATAAACAACGACAGTAGCACGGAAACAGAGATTTCGTAATTATCTGTCTAGTTCCGCCACCAAACTCCAACGCCGGTCTTCGGTGCTTTGGACGGTAATCCGTTCCTTTTACGCATACAAAATTCCACAGCTGTAAAATGCTTCCGGATAATCTTAAAACGTAAGAGTTGATATTTTAAGGCATTCAAAGGTAGCTACTTAACAAACGTCAACATTTCTGCCGCCCGCTGTAACGCGGGACATCGAGTTTTTGTTCCTAAAGCTTGTGAGCGTGCATAGTGAAAACTACATCATAAAATTCTTCCATCAATCGATTTTGGACGAATTTTATAATGCAAAATTTTGTTCCGTGATAATCTACAATCTACGTTCAATATCATCTACGTTTGCAATGTCTCTGTATAACACACAAATTTCGGCAAAGTTCCCAAGCCCTAACGGCTTAAAAAAGAGTTCATTGAAACACTGTTATATGAAAAGCACAGGTAGTTTCTTATATACAGTCATCTAACGCCTGGTTCCTTCACTTTATAAAGTTCAAAAATACAAACAGAATTATTTTTCCGGTGCATTCTGGGTTCTGTTTCATTTAAAGAAGGAATCATATATCAATCAAAAATATGCGAAGAAAATTCGTGCTCCTCAAAATCAAGTGGGCCACATACGGTGATTTTCTGGGGGTTGGGGGAGGGGCACTTCCCCAGGATGGGCCCTTTTGTCAACCCTGTGCCAAGACCACGGCTCCAAAACTCTGACAAGACTGTGACACCAAGACTCTGACAGCGGCCAGGCGCCGGTGAGCGCATTGGGCGCAGAGTACGCGTACACGAGCACAATCGCATGTTCTCAAAGGAGCCATCCCAACTAGAAATCCCGTTTTAATCAATCTGCGTTGCGCTGACATTGACATGACGGACATTTCATTTGCCACAGGATAGAACTGAGGCGTATGATGTTCACGGTCCATTCAGAGGCAAAACAAGAGGGAACAGCGTTCCCCAGAAGTACAGCAGGCTTACACTCATATTTATTGAAACGAGGAGGGAAAAGGAATTTTCAACAGTAGAGCATCTGTCTGATCATATTTGATGAAAGGTTGATGACCATTTCCTGAAACGACGAATGGTGTGGTGCTTATAATTTGTTTTACATAAACTGTAATGCGTATGCGTTGTCGATGAAATTTTGTGTGTCGCTAACCTTTGTCGACAACGGGTTGCATTAGATAAATATACCGTGGAAATTGTGAAGAACTTTCTTATGAGTACATGAACAACGGCACGTTGAATTACGCAAGCACGCAATGATAAATTATGCGCAGAGTTTTCTTTTCAGAATGCAGGAGAGGAGTGCAGCTGCATTCTCTTAGCTTCACAGATCAGGTGCGTTTAGCAGGAGCTGATGCCAACTGTCGGGAACTCCACCCTAAGTGATTCCTGTGGCCGGCACACCAGCTTCAAAATGCATACTATAAGTGCAGCCTACAATATATATATATATATATATATATATATATATATATATATATATATATATATGCGTGCGTGCGCGGGTGCCTGTGTTTGTGTATTTATGTACATTTGTTCTATTTTAATGATAACCGGAGCATAGGCGGACGAATTCAGTTAAGTTTTTCACAGGTGTTCCGTTATGGCAACCTCCACAACTCTGACCCCTCAATCTCTTAAGAAATGTGCCACGTGCTCAGGGCCGTGGTGACCGTAACCCTAACACTCATGCAGCGGCCATCCCACGCCGCATCTGTGACGCATCTGTCTGCGCCGAAGCACATCAGCGCAGAGAGCACGTGAGCAGCAGAAGCAGCCGCAGACTTTCCTAAAACTCGTCGAACCTGCTGGATCGGTACGACGGGCTGGCCAACGCATCGAAGCCAGCCCTACCGCCACTGCCGCGCTCAAACCCCGGCGGCCGGGCTGGCTCCACCGGAGCGGCGTGTCCGCCTCACCCGCAGTTTGGCCGGCAGGCCGAGCAGCGCGGCCGGCAGCGGCAGGTAGGCGTCCCAGCGGGGCGCCATGTCGTACGGCAGGTCGGCGATCGCCGCGCCGGCCAGGTCCGTCAGCCGCACCTCGTCCACGTCACGGAACGGCTGGTCGTCGGTGCTGACCAGCTGGAGCAGCACGTGAGGCGGCGGGCCACCCTCTGCGCCGACACCAGGCGAGGGTGACCCAGAGAAGTAGTGGGAGTCACGCTGCTTTTGGGATCAGTTAGCGCATGCGCGCTGCGGAGCCTGGCTCTCTGCATCGAAGACAAGCTTGAAAGCGCACGTGAAATTAAAATGGTCGAAACAGTTAGATAACAAATACAGAACGGGAATGATCAATCAGTTAGCAAACCGGTTGTTGATTGCAACATTAGTTCAATAACATCAAATGAGACTCATGTATATTGTTAATACATAATGCTGCGTAATCGCTTGCCAGAAAGCTCGTCGTCACGCTTCCACAAGTAGCCCCAAGCGGCAATGGACGCGTCGTGAGAAAACTCGCCTGCAGCTGTGACTTACGGTTGCCTGTAACGAGTTTGCCGCGGGCCACCTGCATTCCCGGATGTGTGACTCCCTGGTCTGCCAGGACCACCACCGAGGCCCGGATGTCCAGGTTTGTGACAGCTCTGGAAAGGACAGAGGCCGTGACAGCTCTAAAAAGGACAGCCGGCCGTTTATGCATGGTTGGAAACAAGTGCACAGGGGAGGAAAACTGTGACTGTGTGGTGCGATGTAGGACACGATACACCTGGGTGCTTGCAAATCGACAGAATAATTTGGGATTGCATAAGGTCAGCCAATTGCTCGGGGTTTCTCGAGTTACTTGGGACAACTTCGAATAAGCAGCAGGCTTCTCGAGTCTGATAGCTGATCTGAGATCGAAGCGAGATGCGCAAAGAATAACGTATCTGACGGCAGCGTGGACCCGACAGCTGACCTGACGGCGATCTGGGCCCGACAACTGACCTGACAGCCACATAGACCGGACAGCTGACCTGACGGCGACCTGGGCCCGACAACTGACCTGACAGCCACACAGACAGGACAGCTGACCTGACGGCGATCTGGGCCCGACAACTGACCTGACAGCCACACAGACCGGACAGCTGACCTGACGGCGACGTGGGCCGGGTAGTAGAGGTCCGGACTGGCCAGATCTAGCCTCCAGTCGCCTCCCACCGGCTCGTCCAGCTGCAGCACGTGCAGACTGGCAGAGCTGATGACGGCTCGTACGAGGGCGGCCGACGGCCGGGCGTCCTCGGCAGCCGACGGCGGCAGCAGCAGGTCAAACCGGGCGCCGCGCGGCGAGGCCAGCTGGGCCGAGGTCACCGCCCCGGTCAGCACCACCTCCAGCTGCGACACCGTCTGGTCCACGGCGAACGTGTAGGAGAAGGTGGGGAAGCCGACGTCGTACGCCAGCAGGATGGTGGCCTGGCAACAGACAAGCGCGAGTCGCATGTTTAAGAGCACGAACGCCCCATTGGGGACGTGGCGGGATATCCGATGGCCTAGCACGGCACCACGCACATTTGTTTTCTGTTCGCACCGCTTTTGGCGTTGTTTTTTTTGTATTGTTTTACTTGTCACACGTTCGTCGCTGATGCATTACAGTTACAGGTTGCTGGCCGGCCACATTAGATGCCGAACCTGAGCTGCCAGCAATGACAATTTGGATGTTTACATTTGTCGTTTGAAACTGCTGTTCGGCAACACGAATGTAGCCATGGTATTTACAACTCCAGTACCGACAAGCTGCATTGCACTCATCGCAGAATGTTTATTACAATGCTGCAAATAAGCCGGCAGCACAGTAGACTTACTCCATCCCCCCCCTGGCTGTTTATTTGCCTGCACATTTCTCCGCCCACGGAGCAGCAGGAGGACGACTCCCACCTTTGAGTTGTTGGCCGCCAGATCCAGCATCTGCAGCACATCCGCCGCTCCAGCCTTGTCGGCATCGACCAGGATTCCCCCGGACGACCTGGTGACGTTCCTGTACAGCTCCAGCGGGTCCAGGAACAGGCCTCGCCGGTCGGCTTGGCCGAGGGGGCCGGTGCCGGGCACCGGTGCCGGACCGAACACGTTCGGAAGTCCGGCGCCGTTGGTGAGAATCAGGTTCACCTGTGAACGGGCCGTTGAGCCGTTTGCGTCGGGTCAGCGGAGTCAGAGCCCTGCGCCTGATCAACAGAAACGGCTAATTCGATGCGGATATCTTGACAACAGCTTTGCCTCAATGAGATTACATTGGGTGGTGCTCAAATCATGTACTCAGTGCATCAATCATCATGCATCAATGTACTCAAGCATACCAAAACATGGATACAGCATACGCAAAGCCTGATCTTCGCAGAGTGGGGAGTGTTTTGTCCATTTTAATTTTTTTAAAGGAACGATTTCAGCGTCACGCAGGCAAACCAAATTTCCTGCATGGCATAAACTACACCGCATGTTTTCACTGCACTTATTTTTACGTGTCATCCCATTTTTTTACTAACGTGTTTGTTCATGTTCATGCAAGCACCATGCCGTACGTTAAGTACTTGACAAAATTCGGTGACGAACGGGGCGCGTGACCCGGTGGCCTTCTGCTTTCAATCCTTCTTCCAATACGCCCTGGTAAAGCTAGATGAGAGTTGAGTTTCCAGCTGGATCTCATTTTAAAAGTTAAGCACCGTGCTCCAAGATGATTCTTGACAACAAGAGAAGAGCGGATAGCACATTCACTTCAAGCATCTAGTGATATGCACGGAAATGTCTCCCAAAACCGCCCCTAAATGACGTAAGAAGCTCCAATTGCTGTACCTCAGTGTTTTTTTGCGTGTGAAAACCTTCCAAGGCACAGGATGTGCTTTTACTTTAACGGCTCAGGACGCAGTTCAAAAAGACGTTTGACGTCAACATATGACTCCCTACAGCATAATGATTTAACACAGATGCCTCCGTTGTGACCTTGATATGGATTTGATATGATGTCACACAGTTCAGCACTCGCTTACACCTACGGCTAAAAAAGGGATCGGTTGGATGGCGCAGTTCAAATAAATTATCCACGCTGTGATGCCTTAATTAAGGGCTGCATGCTTCGAGCATTGCCTTTTGAAATGGCATCAAAGATAGCTTATTCTAAAGCGTCGTCACTTTGTGGGTCGACCTACGAATTCTCAGGATCAGCTCCTCACGCCTTCAGCTGGTATGGGCCATAGCTCAGCGGGATTGGAGGTAACAACAGTTTTTTAACAATCATACACAAAGGCACTCAACCTCCTACAGGCAGCACCGCGCGGGTGCCGATGTTAGGCAGCAGCGGCCGGCAGGGAACAGGAGCCGGCTGGGAACAGCAGCCGGCTGGCAGCAGGGGCCGGCTGGGAGGGGCAGCCGGCTGCTGCCTTACCCGGGACTCAGTGTCGGCCAGCATCTGCAGCGCCGGCAGGTGGTAGGCGGTGTCGCCCGGCGCCCGATCTGTCACCAGGTAGATATTGCTGCCGGTGGGCGCCGTCTCGGCGGCCGCCAGCAGGGCGGAAAGGCCCAGCCGGCCGCCGCCGCTCAGCGCCGGCGCCAGCGTCTCCAGCTGACGCTGGAACTCTGCCGCGCTGCCCGTCACCCGAACCGGACCAACGCCTGCCGGTGCAGACCGCCGTCAGCCGGAGTAAATACAGAACTCCTTCACCCGGACCAGACCACGCAGACCGTCACGCAGCGCCTGGACGCAAACCCTGTCACCCGGACGGAACAGACCTCGTCACCGAGACCAGATACAGAACCCCGTCACCAAAACCAGATATAAACCCCCGTTACCCAGACCAGATACAACCCCCGTCACCCAGACCAGATACAGACCACCGTCACCGAGAACAGATACAGACCCCGTCAACGAGACCAGATACAGACCCCCCTCACCGGGACCTGTCCAGACGGGGGCAGCAGGACGACGGCGACACTGCCGCGACCCCGCAATACACCAGGAATGACGCGGCTGGGGACACGGCCACATGCGAGATACGTCACGATCACAGATAAGAAAAGCCGACAAAGGTTATCGCGATAAAGCTGCCGAGACGAGATTATTCCCATGTCAAAATATAGGAAATACTACCCATCCAACGGACATTGACATGGCTGCCGCCACCATTGCCGTAGCGGCCTCTCCACTCATGGCCATGGTCACACGGGGTAATGGGACGGGCGCCGGCGTGGGTGTGATTCGGTTCGCGCTGGCCATGCCCTGTCATGAGGCAAAGACCTGAGCGTACTCCTTACAGAACCACAGTGCTTCTAAGCAGCAGTGATTCATACCTGACGACGGAAGCGCCTGCAATGTTGACAGCCGTTGACCCCTGAACCGCATACAGGGGGCCGACCGCCCTGAATCTGATATACCTGCAGCGAACCCAGCGCGCCCGCTCACACCGCAGCGACTATGGACCCCGCCATTGGTGCAGGAACAGCACCCATGCAGGGCCTCATGATCGGTCGGCGGCGCCGCTTGCTGATGCCGCTGAAGGGCGCGACCACTCACCTACACCACTGAAGGGGACGATCACTCACCGATACCGCTGAAGGGGACGAGCACTCACTGACGCTGCTGAAGGGCACGAGCACTCACCGACGCCGCTGAAGGGCACGAGCACTCACTGACGCCGCTGAAGGGCAAGGGCACTCACCGACGCCGCTGAAGGACAAGGGCACTCACTGACGCTGTTGAAGGGCAAGGGCACTCACTGACCCCGCTGAAGGGCACGAGCACTCACCGACACCGCTGAAGAGCGCGAGCACTCACCGACACCGCTGAGGAGCACGAGCACTCACTGACGGCGCTGAAGGGGACGACCACTCACCGACGCCGCTGAAGGCACGAATACTCACTGACACCGCTGAAGGGGACGAATACTCACTGACACCGCTGAAGGGGACGATCACTCACCGATACCGCTGAAGGGGACGAGCACGAAACAGACGGGCTGGAGCCGGACGGGGGCCTGCGCCAGGCGCGCCGCCAGCTGCCGCAGCACCGCCAGCTCCGGCTGCATCGAGTCGCTGACGTCCAGCGCCAGCACCAGACACTGGCGCGGCGACAGGCCCAGCAGCCAGTCGGCCCGCTCCTCGCCCACGGCCGCCAGCACCGCCGAGATGTAGGCCTCGGACGCCTGCGGTGGGCAGGTCACGGCCACGGACCGGTCACGGCGGGCTCGGTGGGGGAGAGGGGAGGGGGGGGGGGAGAGGGGCGAGTGGCATGGCTGCTGTCATGGCATTTTACGGTGGTGAGGATTAACTATGACTTGGATAATTTGGAAAATTGGTGTAATGATAATCTTGAAAAGCTATGGAAGGGAATGTTGCACATTTAAAAATATTGAAATAAGTATCAGATATGATAAAAGAAACTCACTTATAGCTCTTAGTATACTTTTTAAGTGAAAAAGACTGCTCTAGACAACACACGTCTCTGTTTAGTAAATATGCTCCTCAGTGCGTTGTGGTTTGATAACGTTATCGTACCTTTCACAACTTGATTAAGAGCCAATTGACGGCCGTCATACCAGGAAATCGCGCTCACGAACGCCAGATCTCAACGCCTCGGCGATCTTTTCTTTTTTGGGGGAAGGGGCTTGATCGCCGCATGGGTTAGGAAATGGCTAGATTTGAGTAATGTGACTATGATGTCACAAATGCAGAGGTGACTTTGAAATACTCTCCCCGGTGTATCTTCCCCTTTTCAAGGGCGTGTAGCCCAGTAACTAGAGTGGCTTAGGTCTTTAGAAGGGCGGGATTGTGAGCAGCACCGCAAGGTCTTCAAAAAGGCTATTTCAGTTCAAAATCCCATGTAAATGTGAAACATTCCCTTTTACCTTCATTGGGCATGCATCAAAAGATTGCTGATCAAAAGACATTCATTGTTTGTACAACAGGCAATATCAGCAAATTTTCAGCCGTGCTTAGAAAAGTAAAGATCGCACCTTATGAACGTAACGCACGCAGGGTACGAACATTGCTTTCCTCGGTGCTCGGTATGCTCGGTATGCTCTGCTCGCTCCACGCTACGGCTTCCTGGAGCGGCGCCCGGCTCACCTGGACGGCGAACTCCGCGGCGCGACTGTGCGCGTAGTGGTGCGGTGAGAAGCAGGGCGCCAGGCTGTCCTTGCTGACCCCGCCAATGGCCGGCTGGGTGCGACTCGAGTCTCCCACGCCGCCGTGGCTACACTTGCCTGCGGGCGAGAGGCGGAGCGTGGGCGGACCGCCAGAGCAGCGGGCTGAGGTGCTGCCGTCGGCACACGCGCTAACCCCGCGCGGTCTACAGGGGGAGCCACGCGCCGAGGGTACATCACGCAGGCGCCGCAGCCAGCGTATGTGCAGGAATCGCTTGGAAGGCAAGGGAGGGGAGGAGCACAGATACAATAGTGCTTGCACGTTTCTGGGAAACCCCAACGTGAAGCCCGCTGTGACGCATAAACAGACCTGAGTCACAAAATGGGTTGGCTTTTCCAGTTTCGAGAGATTCTTAACCGCCGGCAGCTAGGTTGGCTCCAAATGCGTGGCAAAACGTTAAAAAGTACAACCCCGGCTGCAACGACTCTCGAACTGTTTAGTAAAGTGACTGATCTCGACACCGGAACGACAGACGACAGCGCCCCAACGAATGTCGGAAGAGCCCACACCCTCACGATCGTCAAGATGGTCGATGTAAGCTATTGTGCTCTGTTGGTCGCAACAGCCGACCGGTCAGTGAGAGTACACTCCACGGCCACAGAGTGCACTCCACACCCAGAGTACACTCCACGCCCACAGAGTGCACTCCTCACCTACAGAGTACACTCAACACCCAGAGTACACTCCACGCCCACAGAGTGCACTCCGCGCCCACAGAGTACACTCCACGCCCACAGAGTGTACCCCACGCCCACAAGTGCACTCCACGCCCACAGAGTACACTCCACGCCCACAGAGTACACTCACACCACACTCCACACCCAGAGTACACTCCACACCCAGAGTACACTCCACGTCCACAGAGTGCAGTCCACACCCACAGAGTACACTCCACACCCAGAGTACACTCCACGCCCACAAAGTGCACTCCACGCCCACAGAGTACACTCCACACCCAGAGTACACTCCATGCCCACAGAGTGCACTCCGCGCCCACATAGTGTACCCCACGCCCACAAGTACACTCCGCGCCCACAGAGTACACTCCACACCCAGAGTGCACTCAACGCACAGAAAGCACACCTCCACGCCCAGAGAATGTATCCTGCGCCCACAGAGTACACTCCACGCCCACATAGTGTACCCCACGCCCACAAGTGCACTCCATGCCCACAGAGTACACTCCACACCCAGAGTGCACTCAACGCACAGAAAGCACACCTCCACGCCCAGAGAATGTATCCTGCGCCCACAGAGTGCACTCCACGCCCACAGAGTGTACCTCAACTTCCACGGAATGCGCCCCGCGTCCAGTGGATGGGTCTACCTCCAGGGGGCCAACTCCAAAACAGCGCCACCTAGCTTCTGCCAGCTGAACAGGAGCCCACCCTGGCGTCGCAGTCTCCCACCTCGGTTCTGCGGTTTGGTGACGCTGGCGCCATTGATGCGCTGTCCGCTGAGGTAGCCGGACGTCAGCCTGCCGTCGCGGATCACGTTGTTATAGCAGGTGCCGTCCGCCTGGTCGCAGTCCACGCAGACGACGTCGTTCTCCTCGGCCGCGGCGCCCACATCCTGGCCCGGAATACCTGAGGCGTGGGGCTATGTTTGCTGACCTGTGATTCGAGGGCATCGGACTGAGGCGCGATATCAGGGAACGAGTCTCCCGATAGCTTGAAAAAGAAAGCTTTGATGACTCTCAGGCTGTGCACGTCACCGGTCCTTGCCCTTCAATTATCAGTTGACCGAACAAGAAAACCCAAAACACCAGGTGAACACATTCTTAAATTTTCGATGTCAACGAGTCTAGATATCCAGTCACATCACTAAAGGTGTACGTTTTTCTTTTTCGTTAAATTTTAATCTTTTTTTGCCGCCCTCTCCGTTCGGAGACGCATTGTCGTCACCATGCGTCTCCTCCTGAGTGTGGTCAAACAAACCATACTTGCAGACCCCGTGCGTTCCTACCGAGCGCAAAGTTGATGCCGTTCCGCCCGAGGTCGACCCAGCTGGAGTGACTGTAGAAGTCCTGGATGGCGTTCAGCTGCAGCCCGAGCAGCCTCAGCGCGCCCGCCGCGCGGCCGCCCGACACCAGTGACGTCACCAGCTGCTGGTGTCGCACCTGCAGCAGCTTCTGAGCCTCCTTCAGCTGCTCCGCGTCAAAATGATACCTGTTGACGGCAGTGTGCGCTCCTTAACAGCGGCGATGTCGGCAGACTCTCGTGACCGGCAGCCTAGGCAAAAACGGCGAGCGCGGGCGAGTTAGCGCCCTGTTGGTTTTGCGATTGTTCGCCGAGTAAATGTTTGCTAACGCTTATGCGCTTAGCTCAGTGCGTTAAATCGCAAACTTAATTGCCCACAATTCGCGTGTTTTCCGTGGCGATTAGTAGTTATTAGTGCAAGTGATCGTAAACGCCGGTATTTGCGTAACAAATGTCGCACGATGTTCCTAAAACACCCGTAGTGCGTAGTCGCAGTTCGCAATCAAACTACTAGGAATCCTGGACCGTTCGTTGTTGTCGCAGGTGCCGCCAACGGTCTCACAGCTGCCTTAAAAAGTTGTGAAAATTTAAAGCAGTGTATCTGTGGGTGTCAAAATTAAGCGGAAACAATCTCATCGGGGTATAAAAAGGCTGCATGTGAAGCCTTTCAAACAATTAATTTTTAAGATATGGTTCATTGCAATGGATCAAATTTAATTTCGATTCATAAGCCAATTAGTCTCTTTCGGGTGATGGACTCGTGCACGGCTCAGTCTATTACAACACGGAGATTTACTGGCATTATTTACATCAGTTTACCGTGTTTGAGGCCCGGTTTAACAAACATGTAAAATGTAGCGTGTTTGATGACACTCCCGACTTCTTTGATTTATAATGGACCCAATCTTAACCCATTTCATTTCAGCCTTCCCCTCTCTATAGCCTTGCTCTACTCATGGACAAACCTCGAGCCGTTGTCCCCCCCCCCCCCCAACCACCCCCACCCGTCTCGAGACCCGGCTGCCACCCGCCTGATCCCGTAGCTGCTGCTGGCCGCCGGGCGTGCCTCGCCACTGACCTGGGGTCAATGCCGGCAGCACCGCTGTCGGCGCGCGCCACCTGGTCGGCCAACAGCTCGGCCCGCGCCGCGAACGCCACGCCGGCGCCCGTCGCGTTTCGACCGTACAGCTTGATGAACACGTTGGCCACCGTGTCGAGCTCGTCCGGACCGTAGTTAATGCGTCTGTCGTTTGCGAGCGCGCGAAACCGGCGCACGGCGGCGCGCTTCATCGCCTCGCGGGTGATGTTGCGGTGCGTCCAAGTCTGCTGGACGGGCGCCTCGAGGAGACACTGGAGCAGGCCGGTACCGGCCAGTGCCGGCGGCACGGGGCTGGGCAGGAAGGCGCGCGCGCCAGGCCGCCAGGCAGAGCAGGGCGACCGAGGCGGGGAGAGCGAGGCCCATGGCGGCGCGGGGGACAGCCTGCCGCAGAACGTCAGTTTAAGTAGCTGCTGTCTCCCAGCTCACCACGATGCGACTCAGCATGTCGAAACCCGTGTGTGTGTTGGTCTGATGTGACATTTCCGCGATTATGTTCACGGTGTTGGCCTGGTCATCTGGGGTTGTCAACCGCGTGCGCCACTAGGTACGCGGCTGATCTGACATTCCCGATGGCTTCAACTTTCGGGGATTTAGACAGGTCACGAAAGTATAGTCAAAAGATAGGCTAAATATTGGCACGACGTGACAATTACAACTTCGAGGAAATCTCCTTGAATATCGATACGCCCCGAACACGTGAATCGCAATCCCATTCCACGTCCCATATCAAATGCATATAAATTGCGTTTGGCGTGGTCTAGCGTCCACCGCCGGCTTGGTCCGGTAAACCCACACCTTAACCACTCGAGAAAACCCCCGACGTATCGCGACCATCCATGACCAGCGCTCTCCCACTTACCCCAGGGGTGCCGGTCAGACGCGGCGACGCAACAGGTACCAACGGCCGCCCGGCGCCGAATGCGTGCCGCCAACCGGAACCACTTCCAGTCGCTTTATCGCGGCGTACGGGGGCCGAGCAGTGTCGATTGTCGGGCGCCGATCTGAGGCGGACTCGGCTGTTTGTCGCAGGAAGTTACACCAGCGCGTAAAGCCCGGCGAGCCCGAAGGCCGCCGGGGCGCCAGATGCTGCCGTAGCGAGTCACTTCCGGTCCGATGACGCCCGGCTTGACTCAAACAGGTCACAAGAAGGCTTCTTCAGCCGATGTCGGCAGCCCGGACAGCCAGTTTATCGATCTCCGAGGTTAGCTCAATGGTTTCGATGACGGCGGTGCGGCTGGTTGGCGAAGAGCGTTTGATGGCATTGGTTGAGTGGCAAATATTTCCTTTCGCTGCTTTCACTTTCCACTCGCACCGATAAATTACGAACTGGGAGCTGAAGAACTCATGCCGTCTGTGTGTGTTGACAAAAGACCAAATATTCATTGGTAGCGCACCTATTGCAAGCGCCGCGAGCGCCGGCCAAGCGAGCCTCAATGCCATCTAAGCGGGAATTGTGTAACTCCATTGGTCCGGTCCGGCCTGGTCTGCGACCGTACTTTTGACCGCACTATTGACGGGGCTACGTGTGTGCTATCACTGGCAGTACCGCCATGTGGCGTTCAACGAACGGTACTGCATTTGTAAACCATTATGCCGTGATGTTGTTCACGCACTTGCATGCAAGCTGTTTGATCAGGCGAGTTTTACTGCAAAATTGCCACAACATTACATAATTGCACTACCTCTTATGCGATATCAGTATTACCTCACGTGGGAAGCAGAAAATTTTGAAGCTTCCAACAAGCTGAAGGAGGCACTACGAAACCAATATATCAACAGCCTGCCGCAACAGCGACACAAATCCGACACGTTCGGACGGGGAAACGGACAGAACAATCGGTATGACGAGAGCGTGAGCGGATGTGTGTGGTCGGTGGGCCACGCCCCTGAGCCCGCACCATGACACGACCAGTGGATGTCTGCCATCTTCACCTACCGCTAGAATGTACCCTTTACGAACCACTGCGCCTTCGCAGTACTGTCCGACGCATTGAATGAAACATTCTACAGCTTACATAGTGAGGTGGCGTCAAAAGTTCATACACACACACAAGCGTGAAGTCAGTTAAATGTTATCTGTATCTACTCAAAGCATTTTGTTTTTCATGACACCTAGTTTACCCTGGACGTAAACGTTCTCATCTCGTCGATTTCATTGATTTCAATTACCAGGTCATGTTGTATCTTGAGCAATCACAGCCTCAGGACAAAATATTTGCATGTTTGTTTGTGAAAGGTAAACACCAGGGAGCTAGAATAGCTTTTGAACTAGCGTGGGAGTGAAAAATTCCATCGCAAAAAGACCGTACGGGTGTGAAAAAATCAAGTCACAAAAGATGGAACTTATAAAGCTCAGTTATAAAGCTCAGTTATATGATAAAGCTCAGTTTTGGCTGGTTTCAACTTTCATTTTTATTCAGTTCTTTTGGGCATGCTTGTTGACATCAGACAAAGTTAACAACACACGAATCAAAACACTTAAAATCACTTTGAACAACTTATTTTGATTGCCATGGTTAACCTATGTCAAGAGCAATAATGGGTGTGCCCCACAAACCAATTGCTCTTCTCCAAAAGTAACATGACTTTTAGATGACCATGCCAGTGTTGCTGCATGCCTTTTCCGCTGCAGCAAAAGTACCTATTTGGGCTTGTTTATTCATATTTAATGACAAAGTTTGAGGTGTTGGCTTCACATTTTAAATGGAATGGTCTGACTATTTGATGCATACTAATATTTAACTCATATTATAATTGCCATGCAGCTTAGAGTGTCCTTGTGTTAAAAATATAGTGTATATACACAGTACAATAATTTGCCAGTCAGCAAACCATGACAACTGTAGAAAGCACCTGCTTAAAGCAGCCATGAGAGACCGCTTCAAGAAATTTGGGGCAAATAATCAGGAATATGGAACAAAATAAGCCCATTGCATGCCCTGTGGCATCATAATTTGTCTTATGATAAAACTCTATGGATTATAACAGAAAATGGCTAACTCTGGTTACCAATCATGTGTTGAAAGCAGGTAAGGTAAGCAATTTCTTGGTCCACAGGAGACTTACTGGCTTCTTCCTGCTCCCCCAAAACAAAAAGTCAGTTCCTTTTGCATGGTCTGCTGGCAGACAGTCATCCCACTCACCCCCCAAATATGAATATCAATCATGCCCACCAACCTACGAGATTAAAATGCGAGACAAGTAAGAGGTGTGCATCATAAACATCTGCAGAGGACAGGATTTCGGCATCAAACACTACCGTATTAGCTGCCTCAAGTTTGTCCCAAAGCTCTGTATGGCAGCATTAGGATAGCCTTATCAGGTAGCCTGATGAGTTAAACACTCGAAAGGGTTAGATGGATCATAATTGAGCACCGCCATAAACCAAGAAAACACTTAACCGAGGGTTTAACAGGGCAAAAATGGTTGTAAAAATACGTTCCGTGCTTCAAATTGTCTCCTTCATTCCCTGTGAATTGTTCACTCTTGGGTGCATATTAAACATGTTTGGGCGACTGGCGAATTAATCCAATTTATATGTGAAATACGTACAAGTTTGCAGTTGGAGGATCTTGCAGAGAACTTGGTCAACATTTTAAGCAACAGATGGTACCTCTAAAGGCAATCGAAAAGGAAGGAAGAATAAGGTGATGTCACACTCGCATGATACCAAGAAAAACGAAAGTAGCTAAATCAATATGATGCTTTCTGGAAAATTTTGTAATCAGCTGATTTAACTTAAAATATGTTAACACGAGTGCTCAGATGATTATATTCATCTTGTAAATTCCAAATTTCTTCAATTTTTCACTCCTGCATTTCGGGAGTGATGCAATTTAGTGGTCAAGTTTCCTCGGGAAAAAAGAGATAAGTGGACTAAAATTCTCTACCAAGCATTACTGGTGTTTGCACCAGGCTCTGCTTTCGTGGTGTGGTGGTGAGACAAAAAAGGGGATGCGTGAAAACCTTCCCTTTGGCACACAGCTGCCGATTCTGATGCATTTTGTAAGCAAATCAAACTTAATACGTGCAAGCGGCTGGAGTCGCTGGGGTTCTTGGGCTTGGAGGTACCTGTCGCCCTTGCTCTGTGCATGCATAGACATGATTCAGATGTAGGTGAGGCAGGACATAGCCATAGGTGTCCAGGTTCTGTGGAGCCTCGTTTGTGCTTGGTGGTTTCGAGTGAGCTTGGTTTTGGATGACATCTGAAACCTCAGAAAGGGAAATAGAGGTTTGGCATGTGCGATTAGACAATTACAGGCAGGAGTGAAAAATTCAGGTAAAATATGGGGAAAAGGAGTGAAAAATCCCTCCTCATAGAGTGTTGTTTTACACCCAAAGTCGGCAACTCTAGGACACTGGTAAACACCAGTACACTGTTCGTTTGCTAAGCCTATGCCGAAAAGGAATACTCCAGGCTAGTGATAAGAAGTGTTTGAATGGGTTACCAAAGGTGGCGGGTGTTGTTTGCTGATGTGTTGGTGCCATCTACATGGTCGGCTGCCCAATCCATCCCGGCTAGCAACACTTTTAAGGCGACTTATCTTCGCGGCCACTGTTCGTAACACCGTTCAATTCTTAGTAACAAGTAAAACCATTATTTTACAGTTGTGCTGTAGTGTTTCCATTGTACTTCACTGCAAGCCGCTGGGCTTTCACTGCAAGCTTTGTGTTGCTTTGACGTTGTCACAAAGTACAATTTATCCCCAATTTGATAAATATAGCCAACGTAAAATCGTCCAACCGCAAAAAGCCAAATAGCTCGCGGTTCGGAAGCAGGTCTCGCTCCCAGCGATCAGGCGACGCAGCGACATGGCACTAACGCCGTCAGACGAGAACACAGACACTCGTGATGGCGAAAGCCTGTGCCAAGGAGTGCACACCATCGTTCTGGAGCACCTTTTAATGATAAGTGCGGGATTTAGGGTCCAGCCCAGATGAAAACGCAGACGAATGTGCGGTGTAGACGGATACAGTGGCTTCAACTGACTAGCATGTCACAAAACTGTCCTTCCCATAAGTTTGTCAGCAATGAATTCAAAGGTGGAGATGTTGTTCTCTCCAAAATTGATCTCGGATACAAGACACTGGACTGAGCCAAAAGGCTTGGGCTACGAAAACCGCACTGGCGTTCAGTTCTCTTCCTCATGAAACACATTCGATTAAGACATTTCCTTATCTTGGGGTCATTTAGTCAATTGCTAGAAATATAGATGGCTGCAAATTAATGGGCTTGGTGGCCTGATATTATCTACCTAGATCGGAATGAAAGGCAGCTTATTTCCAGGCGATGTTGTTGGTGAGGCTGCGCCCGAAAGCTTAACATAAGTGCCCGTCTGCTTCATAATCTCATCCAACGAGGATACTCCAGGGGATATTCTGATGCAAGCTATAAATCATATTGCATCCATCCCAAATGTTATGGTTTCTTTTCACTGATGCTTTAATAGCACTCATATGGTGAAAACAATGGCGTATAA